CCAAACTTCCCGCCATATCTCCCATCATTACTGGCAAATCCTCCATAGCTGCCTTAAGTATTTAAACACCCCACCTTAAAGAATTATCCCAGGCCAAGCAAACCAAAAGATATTCGATTAAACCCATTTTGATTCTCTTGTGGGTTCAATCTGTTTGGCTTGGGTTGGTTGCCTAGGTTTGCTCCAAAGGCTAGCCCTCGAGTTAACCTTGGCCTCGCTCGCCCGCCCGCCCCAGTACGTACCAGTTTGTTTCTCGCAAAGGGAACCAAACACAAAACACAAAAACAATGGCAAAATTATTTAACTCATATATCCTTCTCTTCTTCTTTTTCTTATCCTTTGCTGCAATTATTGCCAATGCCGAAACTGATCAACCTCAAGAATTAGATGAGTATTGGAAAAAACGAGCTGAGCAAGCCGAAAACTACACCATGGAATCTTACGAACCAAATCCTGAGAGAGTTACCGACGAGTTCAATGCTCAAGTTGGCGAGTAGGTCTTCTTCATCAATTAATTTCCTTGATCACAATATACATCGTTTCAATATGCATGCATGTTTCTCTTACATTTACATAAATTTTAGTATCAAATTTCGTGGCTTAAATTTTGCATGCATGCAGGCTTATAATGGGGAAAAACGAGACAAGAAGGAACTTGAAGGGTCAAAAGAAATATGTTGGTCCATGCAAGGTAACCAACCCAATTGACGCCTGCTGGAGGTGCGACCCTAACTGGGCCAACAACCGCATGAAGATCGTGGACTGTATCCAAGGCTTCGGTCGCAAGACCACCGGGGGTAAAGGCGGCCCTATTTATGTCGTGACTGATCCCTCAGATGGCGACTTGGTAAACCCTAGACCGGGAACCCTGCGTCACGCTGTGATTCAAAAAGGGCCTCTTTGGATCACCTTTGCACGCAACATGGTGATTAGGCTGCAGCAAGAGCTGATGGTGGCTAGTGACAAGACCATTGACGGTAGGGGAGCCAATGTTAACATATTTGACGGTGCTGGCATTACCATCCAGTTTGTGAAGAATGTGATCGTCACCAACCTTCACATCAAAAAGATCGTCGCCAAAGAAGGTGGAATGATCAGAGACTCCGTCGACCATTTTGGTCAGAGGACCAGGAGTGATGGTGATGGCATCTCCATCTATGGCTCCTCCAACATTTGGATTGATCACGTTTCCATGGAAAATTGCGCAGATGGGCTCATAGACGCCATCATGGGTTCCACCGGTATCACCATCTCCAACTCCCACTTCACTAAGCACAATGAGGTACGTACAAACCCTAAATTATAATATACACACACTCTCTCTCTCTCTCTCTCTCTCTCTCTCTCTATATATATATATATATATATATGTGTGTGTGTGTGTGTGTTCGTGGATATATATATATATTAAAAATTTGATATGCAGGTGATGTTGTTCGGTGCCAGCAACAGCTACACTCAAGACAAGATGATGCGAATTACTGTGGCCTTCAACCACTTTGGTAAGGGTTTGGTGCAGAGGATGCCAAGGTGCCGGCACGGATTCTTCCACGTAGTGAACAACGACTACACCCACTGGCTCATGTATGCCATTGGTGGCAGCATGAACCCTACCATCATCAGCCAGGGTAACAGGTTCATTGCTGCTTTAAATGCCGCCACCAAAGAGGTAATTTTTCTTGTATAATATTTGTACCATCTAAACTAATCAACCGCCTTATAAGGCCTGAATTATTTTTCTAATAGTGTTTGCCGCGTGTATTACAAAAATGGTAGCCTTGATGGTCAGACGAGATAGTGAGTTAATGATTGGTTGTGACTAAATATATGATTAGGTGACGAAGAGGGAGTATACGGAAGAAGCGGAGTGGAAGAATTGGCTCTGGAAATCTGAGGGAGATTTGTTTATGAATGGAGCATACTTTGTTGAATCTGGGAGCCCAGCCAATTTGCACGCAGACAAGCTTGATATGATTCCCTTCAAGCCCGGCACCTACGTCACAAAAATGACTAAGTTTGCCGGCGCTCTTGAATGCTTTGTGGGCAAACCATGTTAGACAGAGAGCTTTAATTTTTCCAGTTGTACATTCCTGCATGCAAGAAAATGTCGACGACGGAGGATGAGAAAGAAGCCTACTTTTCTGTCTTCACCAACAGAAGAAAAAGAGAAGAGTTTGTATTGTATTATACTAAACGTTACTTTTTTTATTTTTATTTTTTCTTTTGGTTTGTTTGGGAAACACTTGCGCATATTTTCTTAAATTAGAATGTATCTTTAGCACTACAAATTAAGAACACGTACGTGCTATTTTTTGAAATTTAAATAATTTCAGCTTAACCGCATGACAAGTGTTACTTCTCCTAAAGCATTAATATTAATATTGTTTTAAAATAGCATCTGGAATGATCGCACTGACCAAAATAGAGTGCCAGGATTGCGTGAATGAAGAAGGTGCAGAGTCAGCTAGCATATAAGTATTACCAGACTATCAATCCTTACCCCCAACCAATAATTATGCATCCTTTCTTGTTTAATTTTTACTATTATTATTCATTACTTTTACAAAGAGTCTAGTGTACATTAATCGCAAAATTCACTAAATAGTCAACAATAATAATTTTAAATATAAGTGATGGTCAAAACTACTCTAAATTAATCTAATTTATGGAAGAGGACTTCAACTTTGGTGCAAGCGGATGGGTTCACTGCCGTGGCCAATTGACCTAACCCACCAATGCAATTCTAATCAATTATTTGTTTGCACGTTAATCAACATTAACAGTAAGGTGCAATAAATACTAGATCACTACGGCTTTTTGTGCAAATTTCCTACATTGGAATATTCGGAGAAGATCCTTGCGTCTCTTGAATGAACTCTTTTAAGAACCCTACAAAATCAATGGTGGTCAATTGGAGAACACAGGTGTGTTGTTTATCAAAAGCCCACTACTAGAAAACAGCCATTACCCACTGATTATCTAGATACAAATACATAAAAGTAGCTTTTGAATTTTTTTTAGAAACTAATTCTCCCACCATACCTATTAAAAGTATTTGGGATAGACTTTGGTGTGTAATAAAAATAAAGTGATTTTCATTTTTTTCCTTTCATATTTGCCCTTTTATCAGTCCCAGTTTGTCAAACAAACTCAGCCCCATCTCACAAATCAGCCAAACAAGCTTGGTTGGCTCCCCCTTTTTGTTTGCAAACTGACTTGCCTCCCCTTCACTCAGTCGCCTTGGCATTTTGCCTTCAATTGGATACTGACTTCTTTTTCTAGTCTCTTCCATTTATTAACTTTTTTCCTACAGAAACTAATGTTTAATAGTGAAACAACATAATTAGAACTTTGAAAAACCTTATTGGCGGCATAAGTACTATTTCCTGCTGATTTCAAAATACGAAATTTCAAATAGGCGGGAGAATGTCTCTATAAAACAGAGAATCTCTAGTTTGGTATGATCAGATGGATCTCGATTCTCTGTATTTAGGTTTCGTGCATTTACCTGCATTTAGTTTAATCTCAACAATTACAATAATTCAATGGTTAAAAATATAGCCACATACCTTAATTTTAGTTGATCTTTTTTATCAAAACTGATGGCTAACTCCGTTACTTTACGACTTTTACCAGTACTTTGGCTCCCAATCCATCACCACACAACTGCATTCGTTCTTTTTTAATCGTCCGAGAAGTTTAATTCAATGGATTTTTGAGCTCGGAGCATCATATGTCTGGATAAAATTTGGTGTCGTTGGCTTTGTTTACTGGAAGTTGGGGGTTGGGTTCAACCAATTTTGATTTAATCCCAACTTCCCCATATGTTTTCCAAATTTTTTTATAGCAGATTTTGTGTTTTGAAAAAAATTCAAATTTGAGTGTCCCACCTCCATTAGCTTGTTGGGTTTAATCATTGTGTCTCTTTCTGTCTCCCTTTTGTCATTGTTGAAGGTAAGGTCATTTTCGACCGAAAAAAAAAAAAAAAGATTTATGGGCACATGTGGAAACTACAATACGAGGGTTGTGCAATGGGTTAATCAATTGCCTATTTTCCTGCCATTAGAAACATAGTTAATAGTCCATGTTTTCCTGTAAGTCGGAGGAATAAAAAGCAAAGAAACCAGCAACAATTGAAGAAGAAGACGACAAGCAAAAAAACATTAACACCGTAAATAACATTAAAGTTAAGATAGATGATGTGGCTTGACTTTTAACTATTGGATTATTGTGATGGTTGAGATTAAATTAAATGCGGGTAAATGCATAAAACTTAAATGCAGAGGCTCGGAATCCTGAACAGACATGAACTAGCTCCTCTACAAGATAATTTTCTTATTGTTGGTCGGTCTTTATGAAAGATCTAATGTGGGACCTCCCTAAATTATAATTAGGGCTTCTTAGATATAGGTCCATTTTCATCAAGATATAATGGATGCAGTCCACATGCTCTCTCTTTTCAATTGCAGTCCAGTCTCACCAATTAAACAATTAGTATGTCCATAATTTTTTAAAAATTTACAGGATATGCCACTATCATAAATGGAATTATATGAAAACACTTTCCTAAAATTCAGTGTTTCCTTATATATATGTGCATGTGTATGTATTTCCTTATATATATAATGCGTTTTCCTTGTATGTATATGTACTTGCCTTACAGGTAAGTCTTTTTTTCTTGAGTTTTCTTAAGCAGTTTTTTCTGGAGCTTCATATTTATATACATACGTACTTGTCTTCCATGTAATAGTGTTTTTTTTTTGTTTTTCCAAAGAAATTTTGTATGGATTTTTATCTCAGTTGAGTTTAAAGATCCATACCAAGATATTATATGAGTTCAATTACCTGGGCTACAGGGTATAACTACCTAGACTAGAGGTAATTTATGGATTTAATTACCTGGACCAGAGTAATTTATGGGTTTAATTACCTGCATACTGAATACGATGTGTATGCATAGGTACCTTACCTATTGTTAAGGTATGAAGTTTTTATGAACTCTTATTACAAATTTTGATGTCGGTATACCTTGGGAAAATTTCAGAATTCAATAAATAGATTTGCAATTAAATTCAAATCAAATATGATAATTAATGTCCTACAAATCAATAACTTACAAGTTTTACGAATTCATAATTTACCTTATTTATGTTTTAGGTGCATAATTGGAACAAAAAATAAATAATAAATAAAAGTAAATATCAATAAATTGAAAAAGGCATGTAATCTTATGTGGCGCAAAAGTCAAAGGACTTGGATCAACAACAATTTCTGCGTGGATTGCACTCAATATCTCTCCTTATAATTGGACTTATGCCAAATTTTCTATTATAATTATTAGGAGTCTATGTTTCAATTTGTTTCCTTTTTTACACAATTATTTGACCTAAGGAATATTCAATTTTTCACGTGTCACCATCTGAATAGTTGTCGAAAATCCATGTTCCTACAAATGCTCCCTAACTTCTGCATGGCGCGTGTAGGACATGTAGGAGATGTGAAATACTTGTCGGGCTTTTTAATTTCCAATTGCAGTTGAACTCCCTTTGTGGGTTGAATTTGATTCCTTCTTAGAGTTGGGCTCCTAGTCAAAGAAAGCTTTTTGGGATTCTTTATTGGCTAAGAAATCCCAATGGTTATAAAATAATAATAATAATAATAAAAATAAAAAATAAAAATCCAAACTCTGTCAAAGGAAATAACTACACGCTTAATGCCAGCATATTGACAGCTTTGACAGATTGACAGCGGATTGACAGCCTTGACTTATACAAATTTAATACAAGCAGATTCTTTCCTTAATTAGGATATACTAGCTGTAGGCTATAATTAGATTGATGTATATACGATAGGTTAGCTGTTTTTCAAGGCTGAAGATCAGCCTGTGTTCTTTCCTAATTAACTCGTATTCTGTCCATATAATGGGGGATTCTCGATGAATAAAGATATACTTTTTCAGAAAGAACTCTAAATTGTCATGGTATCAGAGCCTAAGCTCTAAATTGTCTCTTGATCTCAAGTCCCTTAGTCTCGATTATTCTTGATCAAGTTCTCTTGACCTCATGTCTTCGGATAAGTCTGATGTTTCTTTGATTCGTTTCAATGGCAAGAACTACTCTGCTTGGGTGTTTCACTTCAGGATTTTCGTCAAATGTAAGGAGCTGTGGGGATATGTTGATGGAAGTAACCCAGCTCCTGACAAAAACAAAGACAAAGACTAGCACACCAAGTGGGAAGTCAAGGATGCTCAAGTTATGGCATGGATTTTAGGATCTGTCGAACCCAATATCATTTTGAACCTTCTATCCTCTCAAACTGCAGCTTAGATGTGGACTTACTGAAGAAGATCTATAGTCAACGAAACACTACTCGTCGGTTCCAGCTTGAACATGAATTGGCCACTCTCCAACAGGATAGTCTTTCTATCTCTGATTTTTACTCTAGATTCACTAATCTTTGGGTTGAATACCCTGATATAGTTTATGCTGACTTACCATTCGAAGGTCTTAGTTCTGTTCAATCTGTCCATGAAACAACTCAGAGGGATCAATTTCTAATGAAACTGAGACCTGAATTTGAAGGCACCAGATCCAATATTATGAACCGAGAATCTGTCCCCTCCTTGGATACATGCCTCAATGATCTCCTTCGCGAGGAACAACGCCTTCTCACTCAAACCACCATGGAACAATGGCGATCTACATTTGTTCTTGTGGCCTATGTAGCACAAGGTAAGCCATGAGGCAGGGATATGAGCACTGTTCAGTGCTTCTGTTGCAAGGGATTTGGCCATTATGTTGCAAATTGTCCTCGAAAATTCTGCAACTATTGCAAAAAGGATAGCCATATCATCAAAGAATGCCCTACTTGACCCCCCAAGAAATCAGAGACAGCATATACTGTCTCAGTTGGTTCTTCTAGTGTTGGTAGTTCTGTGAATACAGCACCTTTGACACAAAGTGCTCCTGCTCCTGTCCAACCTGTGACCCCTGACATGATTCAACAAATGATCATTTCTGCATTTTCAGCTTTAGGACTCTCAGGTACATCATCTCCTTGGTACTTTGATTCCGGGGCTTCCCATCATATGACAAACAATGCTGATTCTCTTACCAATGTAAACAAATGTTTTGGAAATCTCAAAATTCATACTACTGATGGCAATCCTTTACCTATCACAGCCACTGGTGATGCTTCTCCCTCTCTCACTGATGTCTTCGTATCTCCCGGCCTTACCACCAATCTTGTGTCTGTCGGTCAGTTGGTTGATAATGATTGTAAAGTGGAATTCTCTAAATCTGGTTGTGTTGTGCAGGATCAACAATCAGGGAGGATGATCATGA